TTTCCCACAAGAGGATATTGGCTGGGTGTAATGTTTATGGTACTGAAGGAGCAGCTGGTGGTATCGGATTCAAGGCAAGTAGGTTGTCTTGATCATCCTATTTAGCAGATAGCTAGGACTTGACAGAGAGAAAATTATTAGGATCCAACTCAAGGGCCAAATGGCATGGGGGCAGTAGAAGTAAATGGCAGCACATATCTGAACGCAGGCACATGTCATCTGATGGGGTCTCTCTGCTTCCTTTTCATTTTACTTCAAGCAAGAGTAAACACAGGCCCTCCTGTAGAGCCTCCAGATAAACATATCTAGAGATTATTGATAGCGTGGCTACTAATTTGATCATTACGTGGATCCTTATGGTGAGCTATTAATTGGAAAGAAAATGTTACGAAGTTTAGATTCCATGAGCATTTATATGAATTTGGCCTTTAGCCCAAACCTACGTTTCATGGTTTTCTGTATTGTCAGTGTCTCTATATACTTTGGTTATATCTAAAGACACTGAAAAGCTTTAATTCAGAGCCCTCTGTCGAGTTTGTGTGCCATCCTTTTGAAGATGACTAATGCCACGAAAGCTGCTCTGAAGTGGAAGTGCCAGGAGCGAAGTTTTGCAATGAGAGTATGAACTCTGCAGGGAAAGGGGGTGGGTGTCTGTTTCTTCTAGTCCATTTTAAGCTCATTTGTGCAATTGCTGCCTTCTCCATATTACTGCATAACTCCTTTGATCTTAAAGTGGAAGGAAGCAAATTTCAAGAGCCAGGATCACTTCTCATGTGGCTTTAAAAGGAACAGCATATTACAAAATTGAGTGGATGTCAAATAAAACATAAATTTGGATCTTTTGAAATTTGAACTCAGAGAGGTATTACTTTCAGAGCCAAGCACGTTGACAAGCTCAGGGATAAATTTCATTTGTTTGTCATTCATTTAAATTCGAGTGTTTAGGTCAACTTGTTGCCCAGTGTTATTTGTCCTTTATTGGATGTGGCATTTGTACCCAGCATTATACTATAAGCTTTAAACGTTTAATCCTCATGACAACATTATAAGACTGTATCCCCATTTCACAGACAAGGACACTAAAGCTCAAATCATCCATACCTGACTCAGAATTCCATATTTTCCCCATGCCTGGCCTCCTCCATCCTAGACGAAGAATAAAATGTAAACACAGGTTGCTAATACAGCCCTCTTCACTGTTGTCATATTTAAAAACTGCCAAAATTGCTTAGCTTATGCCCATGAATTTTTTTTAAGTGGGAAATTGATTGAAACAGTGAGTGAAAGGGATTATTTCAGTTAGGGTTATGCCTTACTGGAACAAATTCACTTATTAGCATGCTCTTTGGATTCCCCATCCTGAGTTTTAGAACCAAGACATAGACCAGAGGATGAGCTCAGTATTATTAGTAAGTTACTTTGACCAGCTAATAATCTTCATTTTCTCTCCTTTTCTCCTCGTTCATCTTCTCAACGCCAGCCATATTAACCACCAATGAAGACAATGGGAGCTGAATGGTTGTTGTCGAAGGCTTGACATTTATGCAGTTGTTTAGAATCTGGGGTCAGGTTCCTGAGCTCAGATGAGGTGAGGTCTGAGTATCAGACACGGAGAAGCTGTAATCAGAAGTGACCAAAAATTGAACCTGGACTAAGTTGACTGGTTGTTTTCCTTTTGCATAGCCTACAAATATTATTGGTGTGTGTCAGTCATGGAAGATTAGAAACACTGTGTTTGAGCCTTCATATTATCAGATGAGACTAAATGCATTAAAAAGTTCCTGTCCTAGTCTTTTTTGTGCTGCTATCACAGAATACCACACTGGGTAATTTATAATGAACAGAAATTTATTTGGGTAATGGTTCTGGAGGCTGAGAAGTCCAAGAGAATGGCCCTGACATCTGGCAAGGCTTTTTTGCTACATCATAACCATGGCAACGCATATCACATGAACAAGAGAGAGAATGTGGGAGAGCAGGAGGGGATTGCAAGGGGGCCAAACTCACTTTTATAACAAATTCCCTCTGGCAGTAATGATGATAATCTATTCATGAGGGCAGAACCCTCATGACCTAGTCACCTCTTAAAGGTCCTGCTTCTCAACACTATTGCTTTGGGAATTAAGTTTCCAACACATGAAATGTTGGGGATGCATTCAAACCATAGTGGTCCCCCGAGTGTAAAATATTCCCTCTCGTTCAGGATCCAAGATCAGAGTATCTGATAAATGTTGCCATGGTAGAGAAGGGATAACACCTTTTTGGAGGAGCACATGAGTTGATCAGGTGGCCAGCAAATGCTTTATCTTGTGATGTGGAATATTACTGGGAAACTTTTAAGACATACCATAAGCAAGATACATTGTTTTAAAAAATTGTTGTTATCATAGCCTATTTCCCATTTTTTATTATTGCATACAACTCATAGAAACTCTAATGGCTAAATTTTGCTGTGTACCAAATGATTCCAGTTAGTTAAATCGTTTTATGGGTCAGTAGGTTGGCTGGTCAGTTCTGGGTATGGCTAGTTCAGCCCATCTCTGTGGACTGCAGATGGTTCCACTGAGGGTGGATGGTCTCAAATGGACTCACTCACCTGTCTGGTGGTGGTAGGCTGGTGAGTCTAGAAGAACGTTAGCTAGAACTACCTATGTCTACTCCTTGTAATCGCTCATCCTTTAATAGGCTAACTTGGAATTCTTTACTTGATGTCAGGATTCCAAAGAATCCAAGTGTTTTATGAGCTTGTGTCTGCATCATGTTCACTAAAATTCACTAAAGCAAGACATATGGACAAGCCCAATTTCAAATAATGGAGTAATTGGTGTACACTTTTCATAGAGGAGGGCAAAGTCAAGTTATAAAGGTGCATGTAACAGGGATAGAGGGAATTTGTGGCCATTTTGTCATTTCTCACAGATATTAGAGTAACTGCAGGTAGTTAAGCTGGCATCTCCATACTGAATCAAAGGGACCATCTTTTTGTCTATAGCTTGAATTTGATATGGAATCATTCTCTAGGATCCTTATTTTATTCTATTCTGGCCTCTTGAAACTTGACCACATTTACTGGTTAGGTTCTCCTCTCTTGTATTCCTGAGCTGTAATTCCATTTTTGACCAGGTTTTAAAATTTTGATCAATTACTTGCTATGGTACAAATACGATGTTTCTTCTAATGCAGGTTTAATTTGGTGTATTCTGTGCATGGTTACCTTTCAAGAATGTTTCATGCTTCAGTCCCTGGCTTGAGCAGCTTCTCAGGCAATTTGGAGGCACACTTATGCCAACTCCCAGAATTCCACCTTTATGATCTGATACACTGGGTTCCTATTCACTGATTTTTTTTTTTTTTTGGTATCTGTAGTGTTTACAATGCAGTAGCAAACTCCACATATTTTATTAGTCTATAAACACAATCCTGTACTTAATAGCATCTGTATTCTGAATTGAGGCTCTAGACATGAAGATGTAATCACTATTAACTCATAGAGCATCTAATGAGGGCTTCTAACCGTCAACCTCTGCACCATTGACATCTTAGCCAGATAAGATGTTGTGGAGAGCTATTCTGAGCATTATAGGATGTTTAGCAGCAGCCCTGGCCTCTACCTTGATGTCAGTAGCCCCTCCCCTTGTCATTCCCCTCCCACTGCTATGTGACAACCAAAATTGTCTCCAGACATGGTCACATGTCCCCCTGGTAGGACAATATCTCCCCCATTTGAGAACCACTGCTCTCTTCTGGAGACGCTGAGGCTTAGGAGAGCTGGAAGTGTGTGGAGTGTGTGTTACTGTCAGAGAGGACACACGAGGAACAGCAACCCAACAGGGAAAATTTGTAAGAGTAGAAAGGAATGTGGAAAATTTTCAGTCACCTTAAAATTCATTCTAGGGGTGTCTCTTGATTCCTCTGAATCGACCTGAAAGCATCAAATTGGATTGAGCTACAGAGTGAAAGTTTCATCAATATCTCAACTTCATTATGTGAGAAGTGGATTATATATAAATACTATCAATGAGGGATGGGGGGAGCTATGCTGGCCGTAGATAATAGATTTTTGAAAAACTATTTATTTTGGAAAGACTTAAATATACATAAAAGTGAAGAAAATTGTAGAATGACCCATCCTATACCCACCACCCAAGGTCATAAATGATTGATTCAGGTCAATCCTGTGGCATGTATACCCCACTCACTCCCCCTGCTGTTCACTCTTGGATTATTTTGAAACAAATTCAAGATGTCATTTCATTTCATTTGTAAAAATCTCTGTATGTCTAAAAGAAAGTATTTGAAAGCCAAAATTGTAATATGCTGCTAGAATTTTAATCTTCTAGAATGGGCAAGAATGAGGAGTTCTGCTGAGTAGTATTAGAAAGTTAAGGGAAAGAAGAGATGGGAGGAAGACTGAAGAGGCTTGGCTTTTGAGGGGGATTAAAAACCCCAGGAGGAAATGAGGGTGGGAGACACTGTCTCTTCAAGCTTCTCTCCCCTCTTCTTTTGCTTTCCATAAATTTTAGAATACGTGATTTTTCACAAGGGACTGGGATCCTTACGAAGGAGAATAGGCTGGTAGGAAACAGATTCATTTTCTAAAAAGAAGGGAAAAACATAATCACCAGAAAATGTTGAAATCTTCCCTCAATGATGAATTGCTCTCTTATGACTTTCAATGACTTTTTAGCCTATTGGACCTACTTTTAATAAAACAAGGCAAGAAGAAAATCTTGCAGTTGCTCTTTAAGATTTTCCTTGGACTATAGTATTTGTCTCCTGTTATAATGTATTCTGAGAAGTTTCTTTTGATTTAGACTTCCTCACTTGATTTTATGATGTCATAAATCTCCTGAATTTGGTGAGAGCCATGTTGTATGTGAGAACTAAGCAGCTTGCTAGATAACATCTACTCCCCCTCCCTTCTCTTTAGAAGATTAAACTGAGACTGTTGTGCCTGATGCCAGAATAGATTTAACCAATCATGTTTCCTTTACATGTAGGTCAGTCCGAGGGACAATTCTGCACTGGATCCTATTATCCATGGGTTGAAGGGTGTTGTACATCATGGTAAGTATGCCACATACACTTCCTTTTGCTGGGAGGTGAAGGGCTCAGATCTCTACCTAAAGGAACCAGGTTATCTTGCAGAGGACAGAGGGTGACACCCATTCCTCATCCCCTGATGTTGAAGGGCATTAGAGCCATTATTTGATGGGTAAAGAGCACGCCCATTTATTACCTGCAAATGGGTCTGGGTTAACAGTAAGCAATTTATTTCTTTTCAGGTACCAGTTTGAATGCATAGGTTATAAATCAAAACATCCTAAGATGTACTGTTCTTATGTGTTGAACTTGCCATTTGTTTCATATCTCTCCTAAAAATATTCTTTCAGTTGTCTTTTCACCTATAAATGTTTGGTTTGCGTCTCAGATCTAGGGAAGCATTTTAAGTAACCAGACAAGTTATTAAACTTTGCAGCATGTGAGCAAGCGTCATGCCGCTACTAGAATGGAAAAGGCCAGACTACTATTCTGTGCTGCAGACCTCTTATCCTCAGGCATAAAACCAGGAGAGAAAGTAAGATAAATGGGTTCTGTCTTTTCCAACTGGTTTTTATTGGAAGAATTTCCCTGCAACTTTATTATCAGCACTGCATCATTACCTATGACATCAAGATCCTCTAATTTCAAAAGTACCCTTGTCGCAGTGAGGTGTGCAGTCTAGATGTAATGTAATGATTTGCAAAGTTTTAATAATCTAATTAGAATTCCAGAGACGTTGACAGAAATAGCATTAGTAACCATAATAAATCTCCCCTTCACCTCCACAGCTGTGATAAAACATCTTCACACCTTTTTGGGAGGATTGTCTTTAGACATTAGCCAACTCCATAGAGCTTAACAAACATCTTCCCCCTCTCTTTCAGTGAAACTAACACCAGTTGTCAGGGGTCAACTGGAGCAAGTAGGATTTTGGATTAATTGTTCTGTTCTCAAAATTGGTCAGTCATGCAGCAGGTAACAATAATAAACCTACTCAATATAGAAAAATAGGGTTACTAAAAATACCACATAGAGGCTTTCATTTTAAGATAGTTCTGGGCCAGGCGCGGTGGCTTATGCCTGTAATCACAGCACTTTGGGAGGCCGAGGTGGGTGGATCACCTGAAGTCAGGGGTTTGAGACCAGCCTGATCAACATGGTGAAACCCTGTCTCTACTAAATACAAAAATTAGCTGAGCATGGTGGTAGGCGCCTGTAATCCCAGTTACTCGGGAGGCTGAGGCAGGAGAATCACTTGAACCCACGAGGCGGAGGTTGCAGTGAGCCAAAATTGCGCCATTACACTTCAGCCTGGATGACAGAGAGAGACTCTGTCTCAAAAAAAAAAAAAAAAGATATGTATTTCCATTGCTTCTTCCCAGTTCTCAGTTTCTGGAAGGGCACTAATCCCATCCTCCATTCTTGAGGGCTCTTACCTCCCAAAGACTCCACCTCATATGATAAACTTGGGGATTAGGATTTCAACATAGGAATTTGGTTAGGGGACACAAACCTTCAGGCGACAGCAGAGGCTGTTACATATGGAAAAACGATATCTGGCTCTGGGAGGGTTGCCAGGATGCCCAGGGTGTGGTTTCAACCCTACCCTCTAACTGGGAAGTCAGACAAGACCTGCAAAATACACTGACCTACAGAGGAAGTTCACTTATTCATTCAGCAGAAATATATTGCATGCCCACGCTGTGCAAACCCAGATTTGGAACACTGATTAAGACAGACACAGGCCAGCTCTCATGGACCTAGAAGGGAAGTGAAGTGCTGCCTTCCTCTCCCACCAGCCTGCCTGGTATGCAGCCCCTCCCAGCTTATGCATTTGCTGTTTCCTCTGTCGGGAGAGTTCTTCCTTTGCTTGTGCCAAGGGTGTCTCCTTCTTATGCCTTCAGGTCTCAGCTCCCATATTGCCTTCTTAGAAAGTTGTTTCTTAAGTATCCTATCAAATTATTCATCCCACCCCACTCCTATCACTCTCTGTTACACCATCCCAGGTTTCTTTCTTCAAAGCACTTACATGTATCTGAAATAACTGTTTGTGTATTTGCTCATATCTCAGATACTTGGGTATCAATTTCCTGAGGGCAGAAAACCATGTTAGTGTGGCATGCTGTGTCTGGCAAATAGTAGGTGCTCAGTATCTTAGCCAAATGACTGAATCAAGTAAGCATACAAATAAATAAGTGAAAATTTCAAAATGTAAAATGGGATGAAGGGAAGGAAGAACTAAAGCCCATGTGGGTTGTGCCTTGATTGGGAAGAAAAAGGAGTAGGAGTATGTCGTTCTTCCAAAAGGGAGTGGAGGATATTAGAAATAGTTTTAAAAAAAACAAAAATAACGTTTGTTGGAGGCCAGGTGCAGTGGGTCATGCCTGTAGTCCCAGCACTTTGGGAGGCTGAGGTGGGTGAATCGCTTGAACCCAGGAGTTCAAGACCAGTCTGGGCAACATGGCAAAACCTTGTCTCTGAAAAAAAAATACAAAATTTAACCAGGCATAATGGTACATGCCTGTAGTCCCAGCTACTTGGGAGGCTGAGGGGGGAGGATCACCTGAGCCCAGGAGATTGAGGCTGTAGTGAGCCTTGATCATGCCAACCTCCAGCCTGGGTGACAGAGTGAGACTCTGTCCCCCTCCCCCAAAAAAAAGTTTTTGTTGGAGCTAGAAGCATTTCAGTTGAAGGTCCTGTGAGGGATTTGAATGATCTATTAATTTGAAGGAACATAAATAATCATGTCCTTCACAGTCTCTGGCTTGGGAACAATGATAGAGATATGTAAAGAGAAAAATCAATATGGATTTCTATTGCAGTTCAGAAATGACTTTTATTTCTTCAGCTCTGGTAGTCATATATTAGAATGTTAATTTCTCATTAATTTTTTTTAAACAAGAAGCATCTTAAGTGTTTCTTCAGCTGAAATGTGAAGGAATAACCTGATCATATCAGCCAACTGTATTTGACAGTTGGTCATTAGGGTCCTCTGTTAAGCAGACACCAAGGTGGAATTTGAAGTGCAGGAAAGATTTTTGGCAAGGAAGGACTGCCTGGGAAGGATCAAATAGAGAAGGACCAGGGGTTGGTGGGGAGAGCGTTTGGGCCATGCATGGTGCAGTTCTGACACCTCTGCAAGGAGAGAGGTGAGCTAGGAGGACTGGCTGAAGGCAGCTCTAAGGAAGTCTTTGCCAAGCTATCAGAGAGCCCCAGAGCAAAGACTGCCCCTGAAAGGAGTCCTGTGTTGGCAGGAATGGCCCAGCTCTTGTTCCCCACCATGTATTGTCATTGGCTGGAGCCTCCCAGCAAGAATAGCCTGATTGTAGACGCTGGGCAGATCCTGGAGGTGCAGCTGCTGCAGGCTGTCAGCTCAACAAGCTCCTCACAGCAGCTTGTCTCTGGAAGGGGGAGAGATCTCAGGGGTGCATGCTTAAGAGTGGCACAGAGCTTCACATCTCTTTCCAGAGGCACCTTCCTAATCACACTCCCATAGTGCTTGCTCAGAGATTCTTACCAACAGTCCTGGCTCATTTTGTCCATAGTTACTGAGTACCTAATCTCAGTACACCATGAAGCTAGGCATTGAGACATGGACCTATCCTCACCACATTTGCATATGCTTGGTAGAGATGTACAATTAAGTATGTAATGATGTTAAAGTCTGGGAAGCAGCACACTAAACTCAAACTTGGGTGATTGGAAGTGTCTCAAACCAACTGAACATTAAGACCTAAAGAGTGCATGGAGATTGTCCAGGCAGAGAAGTGATGCAAGCAGGACCAGTATACATGAAGGTGTCTGTTGGTAAGAGAGGATGTAGTATCTTTGAGGCTTGGAGAATGGTGACTGATATGGTTTGACTGTGTCCCACCTAAATCTCATCTTGAATTCCCACGTGTTGTAGGAGGGACCCAGTGGGAGGTACTTGAATCATGGGGGCAGGTCTGTCCTCCGCTGTTCTTGTGATAGTGACTCTCACAAGATCTGATAGTTTTAAAAAGGGGAGTTTCCCTGCACAAGCTCTCTTCTCTTGTCTGCCGCCATGTGAGACATGCCTTTCACCTTCCACCATGATTGTGAGGCCTCCCCAGTCACGTGGAACTGTGAGTCCATTAAATCTCGTTCTTTTGTAAATTGCCCAGTCTTGGGTATGTCTTTATCTGCAGCGTGAAAATGGACTAATACAGTAACATTGCTTCTCTAATGCTTTTCTAGGGAGAGACAGCCTAGAAACCTCTTGACCACATGAAGTGCTGTGTCTTATGTGTTCATTTTTCTAGGCAAATTTTGATTTTTACAAACTCAAGAGCATATAAATAGAATGGAGTGAGGTGATTTGCCATTGATTCTGGTCCCATCTATCTACTCATGGAGTGATAGATGGAAGCACTAAAATGTATCTAAATCAAGTATTTTATTTGCCCTATTATCAACATCCACTGGAGAAGAAAGACTTAGGGAAAGATTGTAAATCCTATTTACTGTATTGGTTCAGTCATTAGCAGCACTTTTTGTATATAAGAACCAGCAGTTGCAAGTGGCCGTTTCTGATAAAAATACTGGTTGCTAAGAACTTAGTCTAGTTCTGATGGTTTAAAATCCATTTTTCAAAAAAATCCTGTTTGTGAATCAGTGTAAAAATGTAGTCTTCTAAGTGAGAGGCATGAGGTCAGGTGAATATGGCAGATGAGGCAAAACTTTGCAGCCCAATTTATTCAACTTTTAAAGCCTTAGGTTGTGCAACGTGTGGTCAGGCGTGCTCGTAGAGAAGAATTGGGCCCTTTCTGTTGACCAAAGCTGGCTGCAGTTTTCAATGCATCTCATCAAATTGCTAAGCATACTTCTCAGTTGTCATGGTTTCGCCAGGATTCAGAAAGCTGTAGTGGATCAGACCAGCAGGAGACCACCAAAGAGTGACCATGATCTTTTTCTGGCACATGTTCGGCTTTGGGAAGTGCTTTGGAGCTTCTTCTCAGTCCAGCCACAGAGCTGGTCATCGCCCGTTGTCATATGAAATCCAC